TTTGTATTTAACCTTGCATATAAGGCCTTTCAATTTCTGGATTATATAAGTCTTATATTATTCATGGATGGAAATAACAAAGTGAAAATCCTGCAAAATTTCATTAACTTCCCTGCTCTCTTCTCTCGTTAGGAAAGAGATTGACCTGGGAAGAATCACCCTAAGGCAACAATAATCAATACTAATATGTGGTGCRAGGGTAATTAAAAATTTTTCTAGTGTTCACATAAAACAATAAACAGTAGAAATTGAGTTTAATAACATTATCAAACATACCCATTATGTAAATATTACCAATATGTGACCATAATTACTAATGAAGTATTTTGCAATTTTGCAAAATTTTGCAATTTGGCCTTAGACCTAATGGCCAGTCCATTACATTTTTTCTTCCTATGATGAAAGCCCCTCAATAAGCAAGGGGTTTGGAATCAAGATGAATTTTGTGGCAGGGCTGGGATTGTGGCTCAGCGGCAGAGCGCTCTCCTAGCATGGGTGGGACCTGGGTTCGATCCTCAGCACCACATTAAAAAAAAATAATAAAGGCATTGTGTTGTGACCATCTACACCTGAAAAATAAATATTAAGAAAAAAGATGAATTTTGTTGCCATGCATGTGGCACACACCTGTGATCCCAGCAGCTTGGGAGGCTGAGGTAGGATTGCAAGTTCAAAACTGAGCAACTTAGCAAGACCCTGTTAACTAAATAAAATATTAAAATGTGCTAGGGATGTGCCTCAGTAGTTAAGTGCCCCTGGTTTCAATCCCAGTACAAAAACAAACAAACAAACAAATTGCATCTAATTTGAAACCCAAATACCTCCACTACACCACATGAGTCATACAACTTTTCTTATTAATTTAGGAGTTGTTAGTGATATTTGTTTAAAAAAGCAGGATTTCTATGTATGAGTGTGTACATACTACTATGTAATATATACACTTATATATTGTACACTATATTTACATATACATATATATTGCTTGCTGTCTGATATATGGAATGGAATGGATCATGGCCAGCATTTGGTGGGAAAATGTCTACTTCTGGAAACTTTCTGGGTAAACTCCCTGCTCTCACACAGGGCAATATCTCTCTTTTGAACCTGAGAAGAAATATTGGTAAAGAACTGTATTCCTCACCTAAAAGAAATGCACTCAATAGACTTACCTGCACCTATGTGTGTGTGTGTGTATAAAATATGTACATATTATATATAATATGCACATATGTAATATTTATATATAATATATCAACAAAACCTTTTCATGTACCTGATTGGTTATGGGGCTCCCTTTCCAGGACCCAGGAGAGTCCTGGTTCAATTTATAACAAGGACAGACACCAGCCAGAAGTATTCTCAACCCTCCTCTACAATCAGCAAATAATAAAGGTTTCTATGTCATTTTCTAAACATAGATAAACAGTAATAGAGGCATAAAGCAGAAAAATATTTTGTCAGGAACACAAAGTAAAAAGACAAAGAGAAACACAAAGAAGTTTTGCCACCTTGAACACAAGAGAATTRGAATCTGGAATTCAGACAAAGAAGATTCAATCTTTTATATTTGGGAATGTGGATGACATGGTTGTCTACAGTGAAAAGATTATTATAACCTTTTGAAAGAAAATTCATGTGAGTGGCAGATAATGGTTAAACGATTAGTATCTGCCAAGTGGTTTGTTAGATGTGGGCCACAGCACATACATGTATTAGTAGCTCCATGAAGACCACTATTCATCTGTGTCCCCTAAAATTATTCCCATTGTAAAGATGAGAAAACACAGGTTTCTGGACATTAAATGGAAACTTAGTAGCACACAGAGAACTACCCAGAGACAGAGCTGTGTGAAATCCCTTCAAAGCTCCTCAAAGGCTGGTTTGCTCTTGATATAGGGGATGTCAGTCTGGAGAAATATTTTCTCTCCATTTTGAAGAGAGTGCCTAGAAAAGACATCCCAGGAGCAACACAAATGTTTTTCCTTCTTTAAGGTTAAGGAACTCTTCACCAGCACAACTATCAACCCAGATTCCTTATGAGGGTAAATGCTTAGAGCTTTCAGGGTGCAAAAAAGCACACCACAGGACCAGAGTCTGACTCAGAAAAGAAATACATCTAAAAGGCTTATAACAAATTGAAAGAAAAATGAGGTAACTATTTCAAAAAATAAATATGTCCTTTGGTAGTTATCTCTAAGCACATCATTCAGTAAACAATAAATTACGGATGAATATTTCTAGGATTTGCCAAATCTTATCAAATATGATTTTGTAGTAAATTCCAAAATCCAGATAATAAAATGCATGATTCACTGTCAAAAACATTCAAGAAGAAAAAAAAAAAAACCTTCAAGGAAGAGGAGTGGATGTTTTAGTAAATGTGTCATTCAACAATTTATTTACTTACTAAATAATTTTGAGGAAATATATTCATTTTCCTGCAGCCATAGGGAAGGGAGATTTTCCTTATTTAWTTTTCCTKTTASAATTTCCAAWTATAAGGGCTGGGTATARCTCAGTTGGTCGAGTACTTGCCTTGCATGCACAAAGCCCTGGGTTCAACCCTCAGCACCACAAAATAAAATAAAATAAAATAAAAATAAAAGAAAGAAAGAAAAAGAATAGAATTTCTAAAGATAAGGTCTAGAATTTTATTTGAAATAACCTCTAAATATAAAGCAGACAAGAAACATACAATATATACTCAGGGGAAGAAAAAAGATGATTTTTTTTTAATGATTAAAAGTAAAATTATTGGCTTTTTCTTGAAATCAAACTCTATCTGCCTTGTTGGATTTATTTTCTTATTTTTGAAGCCAGAAACCACAAAAGAAATACAGGGAAGAGCCTTGAACTGCCAATTCATACAGGAGATAATCTAAGTATTCAATAATCATAAAAAGTCAACATCTTTAAAAATTAGAGAAATATAAAATAAAATCCCATCACAGACAAAATTAAATATTGATGAAGATGTAAAACAAATGAATACTCATTAAACTCAAGAGCAGTTTAAGTTACTATGACCTGCTTGTGGAAACTGTATGCTATTGAATGTACACAATACTCCCCATCATAGACTTACTGAAATTACAGCATATGTGACCATGATAATATGTAAGAACACAACAGTACTCATCTGAACACCTGAAACCCAGGGGGATGGTTCAAGAGAATGCACATCTTGGAACAGATAAATAATAACCTGTGGAAAAATGGTCACTAGGGGCCAGTCACATTTTTGGTCATAGTTTTCCAGTTTAAAAAATAGTGTAAAACACCATGTTTAAGTTTTATATATGCATGTGTATTTTACATGTACACATGTTTAGAAAGAAAATATGTAGAACTTATGAGAAAACAAAAGTCATCAGAACTACATCAGAGACTCAATTACACATCCATGTGTACATGAAAAAACTCATCATTATAAAGATGACAATTTTTCCCAAATTAACCTACAAAATATATTCCCACCAAAATTGCTATTACATATATGAATATATCACAGTAAATTCTAGCTTTATGTGTATCTATAAAGCAGTAATTTTAAAAACTATAAATAAATGGAAGAGAGGGAAGGGAAGAGGGAAAGGGGAATCACTGGGTAATGAARTGGAGCAAATTATATTCCATACTTGTATAATTATGTCAAAATGAACCCAATATTATGTATAGCTATAATGCCATAACAAAAAAAAATTCAACATTCTTTACTTTTAATGAAATAACTAACCAAGGCATGAAGTTCTAAAATTCATCCACAAAGTTATATATAACTTTAGCCAAGAAACTTTTCAATTATAAGAGCAAAATAAGTACTTATCATTACCTGATATTCATGTATATTATAAAACTATACTATATTACCATAATATCAAGGAATCACAATTTAGCAAAATCAATATATGAATCCATATGTATGTWAAAAATATATACTTAATTGCAATAGAAAAGTCTAGATAAATCAAACCCTAACAAAGCCAATCTCAGCAACTTGGCTAGACCGGTCTCAATAAACAAATAGGTAAATAGTACCAGGGATATATATAGCTCAGTAGTATAATATCCCGCAGTTCAACTTTCAGTAACCAAAAAAAAAAAAAAAGAAAAAATGAAAACGAGCTGAGGTCCCTACAGACCACAGTGAGGTCCCTATAGACCAAGCTTCTCTCCTGCCGGAAAAGAACATGTGGAGATGTGGTCATGAGGATCGTCCCACCTGTCACCAGCCTCCTCAAGAGTCTGGGTTGTATTAGGATTTACAGTAGAGGGGGTAGAGAGAGAAGAGGGGAGGGGAGGGGAGGGAGGGGGGATAGTAGAGGATAGGAAAGGCAGCAGAACACAACAGACACTAGAATGTCAATATGTAAATCATTGGAAGTGTAACTGATGTGATTCTGCAATCTGTATACGGGGTAAAAATGGGAGTTCATAACCCACTTGAATCAAAGTGTGAAACATGATATGTCAAGAAGTATGTAATGTTTTGAACAACCAACAATAAAAAAAGAAAAAAAAGAGTCTGGGTTGCAGGCGCACACCTGCCAGATAGGATTTGACGCAGGGGCTGAGGATGCCCTGCGAGGATCAGAAAGGTGGCTATGGATCTCTGCCACTGACTTCTCCCCACCTAGATGGACGGTAGGACTAGGGGCATACTGCCCCAATGGAGGGCTCAGGCCTGCAGGCTCCAGAGACGGCCGGAGTCCCGTCTGCGAGCTCCTGTCCCRCSCGAGCMGGTGCCCGGGTTCCAAGCCTCCCTCCCCAGCCTCCCTGCCCAGGCTCCAGAGACGGCCGGAGTCCCGTCTGCGAGCTCCTGTCCCGCSCSAGCMGGTGCCCGGGTTCCAAGCCTCCCTCCCCAGCCTCCCTGCCCAGGCTCCAGAGACGGCCGGAGTCCCGTCTGCGAGCTCCTGTCCCGYCCCAGCCGGTGCCCGGGTTCCAAGCCTCCCTCCCCAGCCTCCCTGCCCAGGCTCCAGGTGCCACTGCGCACTCACCATTTCCTGGTGCTCAGGAGCCAGGCCTGCTCCCTAAGGATCTTCAGAATCTGCACAGCAGAGCAACCCGGACTCCGAAGCTTGAGAGTGAAACTTGGAGACAAATGGCAGAAATGGCGGACTCCGGGGTGGGGTGGGGGGGACCCGATTGCGGAAGCCCGCCCCCTCCTCGCTGGCTGCACACAGGATTGGACAGTTCTCACTTAGTGCTCTTGAATGGACAGGGCTTCAGACTGTGCCCCTGAGTCTGAGCCCAGTAACCTTCTTTTTGAGTAATAGGAAATAATACCCAGTCCAGTCATGCATAAGGCCAGAATGACAGATTCTTGGTGGCAGGTTCTTTTTTTCTTTTTTTTTTTTCTTTTGAGGTCTGGTAATTACACCTCAGAGCCTCAGGCTGATGCTATTTTATGGCAAGATTTCCTTCCAAAAGTAGGATCTAGACCAACCAGCAGAACATTTGCATCTAACCTTACATATAAGGTCATTTCAGTTTATGGATTATATATGCCTGTATATTATTCATGAATGAAAATAATGCAATGACAATTACTATAAAATTTCATTTAACTTTTCTGGCCTCTGTTCTTGTTAGGAGACAGATTGAAATTTGAACTAGGGAGCAACCCCCAAAACAACAATGTCCAATGAAAACAACACGTAAGGCACAAGGGTAATTTAAATATTTCTAGTATTCACATTAATAATGTTAAAAGTGACAGTTGAAATTGATATTAATAACATAATTCAGAATATCCAGAATATTATCTTTCTGTGACTAAGAATACTACTAATGAAGTATGTGTGCTTTTGGAACTACATCCTCAAGTTTGACTTGCTCCATCATATCTCAGTTCACAGGAACCACATTCCAGATTTGAGCGCTATGGGTCCCCTAATATCAGGGACTTTATGGGCATGGTCTATCTCTTTATATACTAGAGCTGAGCAATACACTTTCCCACTAATATTTCTCCTCAAGCCCAAAATTAGGAGAAACAATGCCCTGAGTGGGAGCAGGAAGCTCCAACCAGGAAGTGTCCAAAAGTAGATCACTCTTTCCCACATCATACTGGTCTCAGGTTCTTTCCCATTGTAGGTATTGGACAGCAAGAAAAGGAAGATGGAGGCTGGGATTGTGGCTTAGCGGTAGGGCGCTAGCCTAACACAGGCAGGACCCAAGTTCCATCCTCAGCACCACATAGAAATAAAGGCATTGTGTTGTGTCCATCTACACCTTAAAAATAATAAATATTTTTTTAAAAAAAGAAAAGGAAGATGGGATCCCAGGAGGTTAGGAACACATAGCCTGTAATCTTCAGCAGTCTTTACTCTATTGTTTAAATACATCAAATGCAAACATATTTGGCAATTTGGGTTTATACCCAATGGCCAGGCTGTAATATATGTTTTCTCCTGTGGACAGACTCTCACAACTAATAATCAGGTGGGCCGGGACACAGGATGAGCTGTGTCTGATTCCGAAACTGAAACACTTCTACCAGATCACAAGACTCTTGCAACATTCCTTATTCTCATCAGACTTGGAAAGTGACTTATTCAAAAGAGCAGGCTTTGTGATATATGTATATAAAATGCAGTCCTGCATATTACATAGTGCCACACAAACAGAACATTCTCATARATCTCTGTTATCTTGGGGCTCCCATTCCAGGCTCCATGGAATCATGTTTCAGTTTACCTCAAGGGCAAACACCCGCTAGAATTTAATCAACACCCTTTACAAATGAAAATATAGGTTGATATCGAATATATGTAAGTTTAATCAGGGTTGATAAATTATAGAATAGGCTGATTTAGAGGGATATAAAGGACTACTAAGCTCTATGTTTTCAAAGCAAAGAGGGACAAGGCTATTGAGGCCTGCAGCACATTTCTTTTGTTGATGGCATAGAGCAAAAGGAGGCCAAGGATGACATATAATTATTGGCAGTACACGAATCATCAGAGAATTGGAATCTGGTATTCAGTCCAGGAAGATTTGAAATATTGTATTGGGGCATGTGAAGGACATGAGTGCCCATGATAAATAGGTTATAAACTTCTGAAAGATGATTGATATGGTGTCAGAGATGGTTTAGCAGTATCTACACAACAACTTCAAGGTGTTTTATCAGCTGTGGAAGCACAAGAGCCCCCATGAAGCCATCATCCACCTGAGACCTCTAAAAACATCCAATTGCAGAGATGAGAGAACACAGGCTTCTAGGTATCAAATGGCTTGTCAGCAAGCAGCTTGTGTCAGAACTGAGAGCTGCCCAGAGAAGAATCGCATGAAATTCTTTCTAAGCTTCTCAGTCTGGTTTGCTATTGATATAGGGGATGTTGCAGGTTTGTCTGGTTTGTCACCTCTCAAATAGAGAAATATTAATGCTTCTCCATTTTAAAGAGCAACCCTAGTGAGGATGTCCTAGGAGGTCCCTTTGAGTTCAGAGACTATGGTTTATCCTGCTTTCATGTTAAGGGAAGTCTTTAGTAACAGAGGTATGTCAACCCAGGTTCCTCACTGGGGCAATTGCAAGAGAGCACAATACAGGGCCCAAAATATGGGCTGGACTCAGGGAAGAAAAAAGTCTAAATGGTTGATAAATCAACTGAAAGGTAACTCAAGTTTTCAGTTGGGAAATTGAAAAAAAAAATAGAACAGTGTGAATTTAGTTGCCACATGGAAAAGAGATTGATCAAGAAAAATAATTGTTTAAATGCCAACACCCAGGGAAGCCTGGCTGCAGAGAAGCAGCTACAACCAGAGATTTCTTGTGGCAGTGTAACTTCAGCAGCTCTTTTGTGCTGTAATCTGATTTTAGCTATTAAAATGTTCCATGTGCATATCCCTTCACTCAGTATTCCCTTTCCAGGAAGTCTGCATTCAGCAGGAGACTAGTTTATGTTCTTAGCTGAATTGTGTCCCCTCCCCAAGTCTCATATATTGTGGTTCCAAATACCTAGTGCCCCAGACTGTGAATCTATTTAAATATATAATTTTTAAAGACATGATTAATGTTAATCTAGTTAATTGGTGTAAAGTCTAATCCAATTAAATTTTTCTCCTTATAAAAAGCAACAATAAGGACACAGAGAAGCACAGAAAAATGTCATGCAAACTTAGAGACAGAAGATAGCAATAAACATGTCAGAGAGTGGACCTCAAAGGAAATCATTCCAGCAGGCACCTTGATATGGAGACTATGGAATTAGCTCAAATAAATTTCTGTTTCACCTCATTTGTTACATTGCCATGACAGACTAGTGGTACTGGTACAATCCACTAGGACATGTATACTCTGTCCCTGCAGCGTGGCTGAATGAAGTAACAATTGAATCACATCACATTCSACCAGCATGGAAAGGCTAAACTGCTGCAGGAAATAACATTTTTTACTGCAGTATTATGAAGGCTTGTGAGAACATACTCCTTATCTGATGGGACCATAGAGAATTGTTTTTTGGTATAGTATATGAAAAAATTGTCTTACCTCATTTGTTTGTGAAACCCTCTCTCTTCTTTGTGTCAATACTTCCCTGGTAAAGGAGTCAGCTTTTAAGCCTTGTAAAAGAAGTAGAAGTATAATGTTGACTGGTACATGGGCTACCTGGGGCAGGTAGCTAAAACAAAAACAGTAGCATCAGAAAAGAAATATTTAGTGCACAGTAAATGCTGCAGTCTGGCTGGGCACAATTCAGGAGCCATTTGTCAAAAGAAACAAACTTTATTTTTAGAACCACACACGCCAAACAAAACAGCTCCTCAGGAAAACCTTCAGAGCCCAACTGCCACCACAGGCTTCCCACAAGCCTCTCAACCTCCCCCACTCCTCCTG